CCCGCACCATTTGTTCTGAATTTCATCCGTGCGCTCCTTTTATAAACCCTGAGTCCACTTAGTGCTCCTCTGTGTGCGTGGGTGGAGGGCCATCTACTGGAGCATGGGTAGCCTCTCAGGGGCCATAGCCCTCTAGAAATCTGACTCTCCTCCATCCGTTTCCAGTATTTCCTCAGGGAGGGATGGGAGGTTTTGTCCCCTCCCCGTCCATGCTGGGACATTATCTGGCTTGGTCTTGTGCGTGTTGCCACAGCCACTCTGAGTCCATGCGTGCGACTGTCCTGTTGTGGCCAGGAAACACTGTTTCTCTGTAGTCCCCCACCACCTCTGACTCCTACAGTCTCTCTGCCCTATTCCAAGAGGAGGGGGTGACTAGATATAGATACAGATCCAGCCATCTGTGACTAAATAACCCATAGTCACATTGACCAGTCGTAGAGAGACCATGTCTTCTTGTGTGACCTTAGCAAGACAACCTGGAAGAAACTGCTGGTTAAGGGCTAAAGGACATTGATGGATTAAACTATGCCCCACATTCCAGACATGTCCAGGTACTAATCCCTAAGACTATGGCTGTCTGGGTCAGACAAAATCAAAGGTTGGAGATCACCTGGATTTAGAGAGGACTCTACATCTGGTGGCAGCTGTCCTGAAGTTGTGCAGAGGGAAGGGCCGCATGACCCTGTACAGGCAGGGACTGGAGTGATGGCATTACCAAGGAACAAACCAGGGACTCCTGAAGCTGTCTTTCTCTACTACACCAGAAGAGCTGTGACCCCTGATTGGCACACAGGGTCCAGAACCACAAGGGGATCCGTTTCTGTGGCTTTGTGGCCCCATCTGTTGGTGACTGGTTGAGGCCGTGTTCAGAAATGAGCAGAAGGCCTCAGCATTCTCCTCCTTGGAATGGAAATCACAGAGGGTTATTCTGAAACAATGTAGAAACAGCTTCAACAGAACCTGGTGCACAGTGGGCCCTGCAGGAAAGTCAGGTGCACAGAACCAGTCAAAAACCTTCCCAGGCGCCACCTTGTAAACATCTTCCTAGGCACACCTGGCTGCCTGCCGCCGCCTTGGCTCTCAGTTTGGCAAACTGCTTAACTTCAGACGCTAGAAATCAGAGAGAGGAGCAGTCCCTGAGAGCCCACCTGCCAGGGATAAGGGGACAGGCCAGTGGCGTCTGTGTCCTTGCAAGGCTGGTGACTAAGTGCTGGCCTCTCTCCAGCCTGAGATGATGAGTCTGTCACAGTGAGTTTCACAGAACATCTGTTTCCGAGCAAGCTGGTTGTCTCAGGCTGGCTCCAGCGGTAACAGTATGTTTTCCCTATACACAGCTGTGACATGTTCACTAAAGCCCAGCGTTTCTACATATGACCCATTTCCTAAGTGGCAGAGCTCATCGAACTCTTCACAAGCATAGCAACATGTGGACAGCCTAGGAAGCTTCCTTTGCCGCCACAGACCTGAGACAACACTGTGACTTACAGGGACACTGTTGGTGGAAGGAGACAGCACTGTTTCTAAAACTGGTCCCTCTAACGGCTGTGCCTGATTCAGGCCTGTGGGCTTCATGCATATGGATGGAAGTCATGGCTGAATGATAACCTGCAATTTCTCTGCCAGTGTTAATCGACTTTGGTTGGTTACTGAGAATTTGACTAGGATGTGCTATGCCGGTGCACACACCAATGCTTCCTAGGATCTGAACACGGCTTTACTGGATTTGATTCAATTCCAATTCCAGCTTGAGATAAGACCTCATGAAGTAGAGCGTACCACGTGAGATGGGCACACCGTGCCTTGGCATGGGGTGGGGGAGAGGCAGAGGAAGACCTAAATAGGAGAGAGACAGATGCTGTCTTCATGGTCTGAGGGGCAGGGGAACAGAGACTCCTAGGGGAAGACTGGGATAGCTGGGGCACTGGGTTAGCCCAGAATCTGTTGGTCTTCCCAGGACAGTCTACTTGCTCAGAGAGTCAGAGGCTCTGGAGTGGGTCGAGCTTTCTGCCACCCAGGTCCCCGCTGACTTGCAGCTCTTTGGCTGTTAAGCTGTCACTCCTTATCCAGTCGTGTCACCAGGAGACCACTGTCTGTCTCTCTGCTGTCACTCCCTCTACACTTCTCAGTTTCCTGTGTTCTACACGGACCCCATACCTTTGTTTTCCTTGGCAGTCTGACACTGGGACCCCCAAATGCCATCGGGGTCAATCCCATCCGGACTGACAACTAAGATTCCAAGGTCAGGTGTGAATGGGCAGAAGGCAGGGCACACAGTGTGCCTTCCCCAATCATCAGACGCCCGAAGACTGCTGCTCCCCAAGAGAAAACAAAGAGGCTCTGGGGCAGACCTGAGCTCAATGTCCTTGTTCTGTATGCAGGCAAGGATTGAGCTCTGCAGGTGGAACATGACTTGTCCACGAAGGTCTGGCATATAAAGGGGTCATCCAGATTCCTAGACCTTGCAGGGACATTATCCTCAGGTCTTCGGGGCCACATTATCTTCGTGGCCACAGTCAGCTCTTCGCAGACAGCAGCTGGGTTGGGGTCATCTGTGGCCCTCAGGCAGCAGCATGGGACTCAGTCCACATTACTTTGGCCTAGCATGGCCCTGTACATATATCTCAGACACGGACACATCCCTTAAGAGGGATAATTTCAGGACTCTACCGACCAGCTCTGAGCAGGAATTTTCCCTGCCTGGAACATCATGTGGAAAGAGATTACACAACAGTCAGAGATGCCATGTCACGTGGCCATGCTATCTTCCTTCTGTGTATCTGTGACTCTGCTGCCAGAGGCCATGGCCCAGAGGCCCCACACTGGGAGCTTTGTACATAGTCCTACCAGCCCCTCTCCACAGACGGGAACCGAGCTTGGGGAAGCGAAAGGGTTTGCCCAAGGTCACACAGCTCAGAAGTGCTGGAGCACTGGAGGGTTCTGCCTCAGCCCAGCTGTGGGAAGAGCAAAAATGACTGAGAAACGTCAAGGGTTTGCTCTGGGCAGGGCATGGAAGTGTGGGTGTCCTTAATCCTTTCCCACCCCTGCCCCCACGACTCTCCAGGCAAGGATAAACAGGTTTAGAGACTCAAAGTGAAGTTTCCGGGTGACCCACACCCAACTAGAGAGAGACAGAGCCTAGAGTCAAAGCAGGGCCTGTGTGAGGAGCTTTGCCTGGGGACTCTGCATGCCTGACTTTGAGAAAACTACTTAGAAAACATTTTAGGGCTGGTGAGGTGGCTTAGCAGGTAAAGGTGCTGGCTTTGAGATTTCAAAAGTCCATACCAGGCCCAGTCTTGTTCTCTCTCTAGTCCTGTGGATCAGATGCAAGCTCTCAGCTACTGGTCCAGCACCATGCCTACCTGCCTGCTGCCATGCTCATCAGTATGATCATAGACTAACCCTCTGAAACAGCAAGCCAGCCCCCAGTTAAATGCTTTCTTTTATAAGTTGTCTTGGTCATGGTGTCTCTTCACAGCAGTAGAACAGTGGGTGAGACACTCAGTCAGCACTCAGGTGCAAGGGGTCGGGGTGGAGACTCTTGGGATCATGGGATGCATGGAGAATCTGCCTCCTTTCCTTCAGAAGTCCTGTCCCTTCCCATCTCATCTCTCACATTTTGGCAGCCTGCCCTTGGAGCGTAGAAAACATCCATGTCTACTCTCTTCCCAGAATGCACTCTGTTTATAATCCCTGCGTCACAAAGTTGAGAATCTCCGAGGACCTTGGGAAGCAGCTGTGCCCATCCCTTGCTTTTCTACCTGAAAACACAGGTTCCAGCAGGTTCACTGACGTGTTCACGTCACCCATCTTGTCAGGAACATCACTCTCTTTCCTGTCTAGCTGAACCTGTGAGGCCCTGGAGGAATCTACATTTTAGTCTAAATCTCATCCTGGCCCATGGAATCATTGAAGAGAAGCTCATTTGTAGCCTGCACTCTTTCCAGCCAGCAGCAAGCAGGTGGTTCCAGATGTTAGCGTCTCCCTTGCTCTCACTGTCCTTTAGAAAAGCAGCCTGCCACCAGCAGAGGGGTGACAGTGACCTGTTTCAGTCTGTCACTCTCTCGGGAGAAGTACCCCTCTGCCTGCCTAGAAGCGATGGCTATCTGTGCAGGAACACAGCTCTGTCTGTGGACTTGTGTGGACGGACAGAGGGAGGCAGCAGCAGAGGCGAGGCTGAGCTGGGGGTTAGGGGTTGTGGGAGAGTCGGGAAGGCAGGTGAGGGGCGCCCTGGTTGACAAAGAACCCTGGTCCCAGTCTCTTGGCCAGGGATCCATGAGTCATCTACAACTTCCAATAACGAATGCACGAGTCCGTTCCCAGAGGAAATCATTACTCCTAATTATTATTATTAGGCATAATGACTAATTAGTTAAAAATAGCTACCATTTACACAGTGCCAACTTACGGCTGCTTCTTAATGTGTATTTTTTCCCTATTTTACTCTTTCAGGCTTATTTTCTATTTTTCTAATTATAAAGTCAATATGTGCTCAAAGAAAAAAAATATCAAAAAGATCCCAAAAAGTAGAAACAAAGGGGCAAAATATTCAGCATTTGGTTCACGGCGAAACATTGGAGCCATTATTAAGTTGCTGCTGGCTTCCGGCCTTTCTTCTCCATCCTTCTCCATATGTATATGTGTATTTGTGTGTGAGAGAAAGAGAGGAGAGATGGGAGGGATAGGGAGAAGAAGGAAGAGGGAGAGGGGGAAGAAAAACAGACTGACACACACCTCGCAAAGTTGAGCCCCAGTGTAGGAAAGGGGTGGGTAGGGACCCTCACTCCCTCCTCTCTTCCATGTTCAGACTCCTCTGCCCATCTGGCTCGATAGCCCAGGCTAGCCTCCCAAGGACTAGGATTCCAGGTATTGTGCCACCAGCCCTGGCTTATGTGGGGATGGATTCCATTGCATTTTGCTGCCTCATTCCCTGTCTGGTCCCCTGCTCCGTACCTGCTGGGAAAAGCGATGTGGTAAAGAGACTGCTACTCGGCTGTCAGTACCTGGCTACGGAAAGCGAGGAGCCCTTAAGCTTCGATGAAGACATTCTGTCAGAAACTGCAGGGATTCTGTGTTTTCTGTCCATACAGATATCTGGAAAGCTGAAATCAGAAAGCATAAGGAACTATTTTTTTGCAAGCTGCTTTGCATGACAGAGATAGCTGAAGTAAGTTCTACAGAAAGGTCATCCACAGGGTGGTGGGTGGGGCGGGGTGGGATGACATATGAGACAGTATGCATGCCCAGAGGGCCTGGGGTGCCAGGAGGCAGGAAGGACTTAGAGTCTACTTCCTGACAAATGGCTGAACAGGACCAAAATTTCCCAGAGTCCTTTTGTTGACACGGACAGAAAAGTAGGTGAAATAGCTTACGTGACAAGCACTGGGCATTGGGCACAGGGGATATAAAATAAACATCACAGTGTCCCCTCCTAACAGGAGCTCACAGTGGGGACAAAGGGTCTCAAAGGAGTAGTTACATAGGCTGAGGTGTAGTGAGAGGAGCAGAGGAAAACCAAGCCATAACAAACGCTCACACACTAAACCCAGAAATAAACAAAACCCCTCGAGATCAGAACTCTACCATCTCTCCATGTGAGGATGCATGGCTGAGAGAAAAGTTACACCAGAAGCAATTGTTAAAGGCTTTGTTTGTAACTGCGATCCCGTGTTCATGGAAATATAACTCTAAAGATGAAGGACGAAATCAAACCTTCTCTTCTCTGAAGTTTTTGCTCACTTGACAGTCTCAGGCTCTTTCTAACAGGAAAGGCTTTGGGAAGAGGATGACTGAAATGCATTTTGTTTCCCCCCAAAGCTCACTGCATGTTCATATATGGGAGCCTACGGGCACACTTATTTTGTGTATGCATACATATGTGTATGCCTATGTCTGCATATGTGCATGTTTGTATGTGTATTTGTGTGTGCACCTGTTTATGTCGACCAGAGGGAACTTACCAATGAAAAGGGCCTATTTGGCTGACAGGTAACAGCCATCACTGAGAGAAGGCAAGGCAAGAACTGAATAAGAGACCATGGAGGAGTTCTGCTTACTGGTTTGTTTTCCTCGGCTTGCTCAGCCTGCTTTCTTATACAGCCTAGGGCCTAAGCGAGGTGCTGCCCACAGTGACATGGACCTTCTGCCATCAATCATCAGTCAATAAGATGCTCCACAGACTTTCTTATAGGCCAATCTGATTGGGGTAATACCTCAGTTGAGGTTGCTACTCCCTAGTTAACTCTGTCAGCTTGACAAAAAGTAAACAGCATGGAGGGCAAACTGGGATAGGCTGGGCCTGAGGGAAAATGGCTGTAGTATGGGGTTCCAGTCCCGTGATCCTAACCATCCTGCCACACAATCCCTACTCAAGTATCGATGGCATTTGTGTCTTTATGGGGTAAACATGGCCCTCCATGGGACAGGGACACTTCACTGCAGGAAGTGGAAACATGTCCAGCAAGGAATCACACCTGCCTGGTGTTTGTCTTCACAGCAGCTCCTGCACAATGCCCGCCCCTGTCCTGTCCCCGATATCCTCAGGGAAGACTCCGTCTTGTGCCCCTTCCCCATCTTGCTGCACAGTCCCTCTCAGGGAATGTGCTATGTGACAGAGCGGCTGCCATCCCATCACCTATTTTCCTGGTTCCCTTGGTTCCATTGTGCCAGCCATCTTGGACTCACCTGGCACAATTCCTATGCCTCTGAGCTTGCTTACTGCTTTGTCTGCCAGTGTGTCTACCCTAGTCTGGCTTCCTTGTTCTTTGTCCCTTCTTCAGGAGGCTTTGCCTTATATGAGATCTGGGGCTTTGATCATTTGATCATTGACATACTCCTCCTAGCTTTTGGGTAAGGCTCACCCCAGATACTCAGTATCTCTTGGGTGAATGAGCAAAGAAATGGGGGTTTGAACATCACCACAGCTTTTCTATTAGATCTTGTTTCGTTCCACAGACAACCTGTTGAGGGAGACAGTATTTCTCCACTTTATGGGGTGATAAACAGCAGTCAGTGAGTGTTTTGAGAGGCCCACATTCATGCACTCAGAACGTTGGAGTTGGATCCAGAACAGTCTGTCACCACAGACAGCATCTTCTGTAGCCCAACAGTCAGTGGCCCTGAAGTCACCTCTGGACAGGGCCCATAGACCCTGGCAAAGGTGTAACATGGACGGGCCTGGCTTGTTTGTTGTTGGGGTTTTTGTCCTCCCACCAGGCACCCCACAACTGTTTAGCCTCCCAAAAATCACACATAGGTCTCCATAAATTATAAGCTGATTGGCCCATTAGCTCTAGCCTCTCACTGGCTAACTCTCACATTTTGATTAACCCATTTTCCTGATCTATGTTAGCCATGTGGCTCAGTACCTTTTTTCAGTGGGGCAGATCACATCCTGCTGCTTCGGTGGTCTGGGCAGGAGTGGGGGGAATCAACTTCCTCCTTCCCAGACTTCTCTTGTTCTTATTACATCATTTCGACTTCCTGTCTGGTTTTCCCACCTATATTTCCTGCCTGGCCAGTCAGTGTTTATTTATACCATGATTGACAGAATACAGACAATTCTCCTGTACCACAAAGGGGTCTGTCACTCTGAGTTTTCAGGAGTATTAAGGCAAGCTCACGGGAATGCAGCTCTCGGCCTCTCTACTTCATTTCTCTAAGCATTTGAAGCTTTCCTGCTGGACTCTGATGCCATGGTGGAAGTTCCCAGCTGGCAAATTCTCACGCTGTCCTGCACCCTGTCCTCTGCCAGGTCCCTCCTAGCCTCGCTTTAGTATTTTGTGGCACCTTGCTGTTTCTGACCTTCCTACCTGTGGATATTTAATCAGTTTATTTTGAGACGGGGTCTCACATGTAGCCCAAGCTCAATCTGAACTCACTACTTAGACCAAGCTGGCCTGCAGTTCACAGCGATCCTCCTGCCTCTGCATGCAGGCTGAGTCATCACACCCAGTTCTTTTTATTTATATTCCTTGGGATTCCGTTAGCTTTTTGATCATTTTGCCATTTATTTTTAAGTTTCATTAGAAAATACTCATCCTTAATTCCCCTGAATATCAACTTTCTTCAGTCTTCCATTGCCCCTTTTTGGAACTCCTGCTGAAGGTACTTGATTTTTCCTTTCACTGTTTTTTGAGAGATTCTTAGCAACCTCTTCAACATGTCTATCAATTCCTTCATTTCTCTTCACTTGGTCTAGTAGGCTGATTGATCTGTCTCCTGAATTTCTATTTTATTTACACTGGATTTTATTTTTAAAGTTTGATTTGTTCTTATAAAATCCGGCTATCTGTTTCTGTCTGTTTTTTTTTTTTTTGCAAACTTGTCAGCCTGTTTTATATTTATTTCTTTAAAGGCATTGAGTCTATTTATTCTACGGTATGTATGCAATAATTTTAATATTCATTGTCATTGTGTGGCTGATTTTCAATTTCTTCATTTTCCCTCTGTTCTTCTTCATTTGACCTGCTTTCCTGAAGATCTTACATAGTGCTTTCTTTTCCATTCTGGACCTTCCTTCCCTGTTCTTCACTGTTTTAGATTGCTTGAGTTGCAGCTGTGAGGTTGAGTCCATCACTCAGGTTTCTGGAAACACCAGTGACTCACAGCAGCTTCCACCATGGATGCTCTGCTTTTCCAGCCACACAGATAACACAACTCTAATCCCAAACTCTCATGAAGGAGTGTTTACAGATTCTTAAGGATGTAGCCATCACTCCTTGTCTCAGGACCAGAACATGCCAGGCAAGTGTTCATCCATTGCCCTCCATGGGTGAGTTAGAACCCTCAGGGGTTCTAACTCCACGTGGGAATCTCTGGTCTAACTTCTTCACTGTTTGGGCTCTAGGATTTCTCCCTTCTACAAACATCAGGCCCAAGTTCCAGGCCACCAGAGGGATGTCCACAGGGGAAACCCACTTTCCATCCCTGGTGCTGAGCCTGCTGGTTCAGGGCTCTGGAGCACTCTCTTGCTTGCTGCCAGGCCATCTTTGCACTAAGAAATCATTTAAACATTACCTGGTGCACACCAGGAGAACGCCATCAAATGTCTAGTTGGTTATATTCTCAGAAACCCAAGATCGTGTATGATTCAACAAAACATCACACTCATTGATTTTTACTCTGTATAAAAGCGGACTCTGAAGGAAAAATGAAATTATGGATAAACAGATAATATGTAAAACATATATTTCTCATCCTACTACCAAGTAGTAACTAGTTTTCAACCTTGGTACAGTGACTTCCTTTCTGAACAAATGTGTCCTCTTAATTTGGGATTTGGGAGGCTTTCCCTGCACTGCAGCTATGGTAACCACTCTTTTCTGGACCCTGCCCCCATATCCACTATGGACCCTAGGGAGTACCCAAAGGCCCATGTGGCAAAGACTTGGGAGCAGATGGTGCTCTTAAGGGGAAGTCTTTAGGCAATTTGACGGCCCTCAGAAAAACTCTGGGACTCTGGCCCTTTTCCCTTTGATTACCTGGTCTTGCTTGCTGTGCCCCTACCTCCCACGGGGATAGATTTCCTTGTCGGGTCAAGTCAATCATGGACGAAGGGCGCCAAGGCCATGAGCTACAACCATCAGTCCATCCCCTGAAAGGTAACCCTTTGGGTGCCTGTTATGACAATGGATCCTGTGTAAAAGTCATTTGAAGTCGCACAAGTGTGCTTCTGTGGTGCTGTGTGCCTGGGAGACTGTCTTTGGATAAAAGGCTGCCTGACTCTGGGTTCTTACTTTTCTGCATTGTTCTATGCTAAGTTTCAGCAAAATCACTGTAGTTAGAGGCCTTGAAACAAAAGCTGTTCCTTAGGGCCAGTTTTGAGTCTCCCTAAGGTCAGGGTGTCTTTTATTGTATGTGCTGTTTATGCCTGAGCTGCTTAGCCTGGGTTTTCTTCTTTCTTTTTAAAAATTAATTAAGAGTTTTTTTTTCATTGTTTTGATATAAGGTCTCCCTGCATAACCCTGGCTGTTCTAGAACTCACTCTTTAGGCCAGGCTGACCTTGAACTCATAGAGATCTGTCTGCGTCTGCTTCCTGAGTGTGCGCACCACCATGCCCAGCCTAGCCTGGCGTTTCTAATGAGTTGTTTGCAGAGGTTG